CCACAGGACATGAACATGTATAAATTATGGGTTAAATATAGTTTACACTCATAACTCATACTGCATATCATCAGTAACACTTATCCGGTTACCCCTTAAGTTCAATTCAATTTGTATTTTAAATCCTATTACTTTAAAATTTTCTTTTTTTATTTAAAATAATAATTATTAAAAGAATAATTAAATTATACAATTAAAAATATCTGTTGAAAAATGAAATATTTCAAAATTTAAAAATATTATTTTGTACTATTGGGTACATATTTAATACGTAACATCTAATTGTTATTGACCAATTAATCGAATATATTCATATCCATAAATTAAATTTCTTAAAATATATTTTTCATTATATACAATATATATATTCCTTAAACCCACCCTGTCTCAAATTCCTGGCTCCGCCACTGGTTATATATATATATATATATATATATATATATATATATATATATATATATATATATATATATATATATATATATATATATATATATATATATATATATATATATATATATATATATATATATATATATATATATATATATATATAACTACATGTAACTCTAGTAAACTATAGTAATTTGTAGTTATGTTTTTATTTACCCCATATTTTTAGTCGATCAATTGTATACACACGAATACTGGCTTATACAAAAGAAATTCATAAACCCCAACAAAAATTTACAAATTTCAATATTTTTATTACAAATCACATCAGAACCAATAAAATACAAATCGAAAGTACACAAATATATGCATATGTAACTACAGGTTACTATATGTAACTAGTAATATATAGTAATATATAGTAATGTATAGTAATGTACACATTCTGTTGAACATTATAACTTGAAGCAATTGTAACTTCAAGCAAATTTTTGACACCTTCAAGTACATGATCAATGACTCATTAAGCTACAATTTCAAAATCAAAAGAGAAAAAAATATTTTAGTGCAAATCAACAAAAAATGAAGAAACATCAAAACACTCAAAAATCAATAAACACTAAGAGACCAAGAGATAGAGAGAGAGAGAGACTATAGCTGGGAAATGCTACGGATTTTAAACCAAACAGCCAGTGACTCCTCACCCCAATCGCCTCCTACCAAAACCCTAGCCGCCGCTAATAACCATCCAAGGTTCCGCGCTCATAAATGAAAAAAATTATAAAAATATATTTGACAGTATAAAAATAAACAAAATTACCATCAAAATATAGATCTCGACGAGAGATCTGTATAGGCAAAGTTTGCAAAGAAGCAATTTCAATATGAATTTTCGGAATCAAAAAAAGTAAGGAATTCGAGAACGTGCATGTATTTATTTCTTCATGGTAAAACATATGAAATAATTTTTCATTAAGTTTATTTCACGAAAACCGCGAATAAATATTAGTGATTGATGGCTTCAACTTTTGCAGCTCACTGTTCAACTTTTGCAACGAGTGAGCAGGTTGAGTAATATGGGTTTATGAGATGCTACAATCAATATATCAACTAAACACACATACATAAAGGTGTGTGTATTTATTATGTGTAGATCCATGCATGGTGCAGGATTTTCCAGTGTATTTTACTGGGTGTAGCATCTAAGAAATGACCAATGTAAATGATTCTTACTAATCCCTATTTTTTAATCAGTAATAATAACCGAACAAGGACAAAGTGGTTCAGTTTCACTTTCAACCGCTCATGAAAACAATATTTGACAAACGCATACAAAATCGTAAAACCTTTTTTTCTTTTCAATAATCTTTTGTTATTATACTATAGCACCATTAATAGCAATACAAGTGAAATGATTTACTTTCTTGCTAATAACAATAAAAATTGTATCTACTAGGGTTATCATATATCCTTCATATCCAACGAAAATCAGAGCAGAAACATATAAGTGCGTTTCCTTGGGAAACGCAATGTCCTTCGAGGAACCTCTCCGACTTGCAAGTAGACATACACTTCGGAGCGGTACATAAGCCTTTGTAAGTTTTGCTCTTTGTTATAAGCATTTTCTCTTCGTTTACTTCCGCAGCATTAGCTGATCCAATATCTGCATTTATAGTTTACACATATATTAAGTTACAAAGAAATGTTTGTATATTTGTATCACATATATTTGTATACAACCCTTTCTGGTACTTCTCGGAGCACGAGTTATAACAACATATCGGAAAGCGCGACTAGAAAAAGAACCGTACTTGGTTCAAAACAAAAACTCACTACCTATTGAAAAATTAATTAAAAAGACATGTATTAAGGTAAAGATCAAACCATTGATGAAGACAAGCACCATCAAGAAAACAATACTTAGTATTAAGTGATTGGAGCTCTTCATATTTGCAGAGAGATGAAGATACCGAGATACAAGTAGAAACTATAGCGATACATGATCCTTATATAGTGTCTATTGAGATATTTTTTCTAATTTTTTATTTATTTATTAAATTAAGTAGAGATAAATCCTGTCATTAATTCACGTAAAAACTTTGTAGATAAATAGAAAAGAAAAATGATGATGACGACCTTTCAAATGTGTGCCTGTAGATTGTTTTTTCCAATTAATCTATTAAATGCAATTGGAATTTTTCAGTTTGGTGCAAACTAAAATAAAAACAATTTGCCATATTTAATTTCAATATAATGTACACATCATTCCGCGGGACATGTAACATATTGTATAAATTTAATGGGGGAATTATCTAAATTCTAAAATCTTGATTCCATTCATGACATGTGGAGGGTTTAATAAATTCTAAAGGCCTCGTATGGTTACTTATGTCATATAAGTTTACATTAGATGAGATTGAATTAATTCCCTAGCGACTAACTAATTAATTAGTTAGACTTAGTATGATGTTCCGTACAGGGCCGGTCCTAGGGTTTAGGGGGCCCTAGACGAAGTAAAAATCGGGGCCCGTTTTATATATATAAAAGTTCGAATTTCCTTATGTGCAGTTGTAAGTCTTAACATTAAGCCATTTTCATAAAAGAAGTAATTGAGTTTACAATAGAGAGAGATAAGAAAAAAAAAAAAAAAAAAAAAGGAAAAACCAAAACTTCTCACAATTTTTTTTGATATTTTCTATATATACGTACATATATTTTACATATATATATCTAAAAATATTGCCATGTGGGGCCCTTGAGTTAATCTTATTTTATAATATTTGTACATTCTTTTATATATATAAAAAAAATTATCTCATATATTATAACAATTTTTTTCTTGTGGGGCCCTCCAAAAATTGGGGGCCCAAAGCCATGGCTTCCGTGGCTTCTGCCCAGGGCCGGCACTGGTTCCGTATGTAAGATTAGATCTTGTATTAAATTTGTTAAATTCTTGTATTATATCATTATATGTGATTTGTCTATAAAACTTTTTATTTAATAAAATAAACATGTAGTTTGAAGGATAAAATTGTTTTTTTACTTATTTAGTCACCCCAATTAAATTCACCTCAGGGAGGGGTGCTACTAATTTAATATTTAATAGCGGACTTTGATTTTAGTAATGGGTTTGAAAAAATTTGAAAAAATCCACCCCCTATTTAATATTTTATCATTTTCTTTTTCAATTTCTTTTATTGCATAAAAAATGGGGACCTCGTTAAAAACCTTTGTCGACTTCGAACAAGGAAACAAGTGCCCCCTAGTTATAAGTTCTACGAAAACTAGGTAAACCAATATTCCTATCTAGAAATAAATGTTTTCGAATATGCACTAGGAATAGCAGTTAGAGCTACCTACATTAGTTTCCTGATGGACGACTAGAGAACATCTAAAAAATGCTCGTCATTCAATATATAACCCATTCATCCATAACTTCGTCATCTGATATCCAATTTAGTTGATTCAAGTATAAGTAGAAAGCTATCTTAAAGGACTACAATTTCCGTATTTGAATTTTGCCAAAATCATACCAGCAAAGGTTTAAAATTAATTTCGAATTTAAAACATAATTAGTTAAATTGAAACGACATTTAACATTTTGGTATTGGAACATTATAAGAAAAGTTTTGAAAAAAAAAAAAAGATATCAAATTTATCAAAATTAACTTCATAAATTAAATAGGTATTCGATTAGTGGAATTTTGGCTCATTCGTTTATATCCCCTGATTTTCAGCGTTTACTACGTAGACAATTGACCGTTCGTTCCTATCCGATCGGTGGGATAATTTAATTTACGGGTTTGCACGGGCAACCATATCGATCAGTCGGTCAGTTCTATTTGATCAATCGGGTACTCATGAACTGCGTATGCGTAGCAACTTTTCTGATAGAATAGTCCACCTTTCTACGGAAGTACTCTGCTTCTCCGTTTCATTTGCTGCTAATTGTCTAACGTGTTGGGCTAACTCACGCTCATTCATCTCAACATGTTGAATTTAGTAGAGGTGATCCTCGTCACGATGTGCATCAAGCCGTGGCAGAACGAAGATCATAGTAGAACTTGAAATTAGAGCATACAGTTAAACCTCTATAAATTAATACAGTCGGGACTATGTAAATTATATTAATTTAGCGAATTATTTAACTATCGAATTAATAAGTTAACACGTTTTCACCGAGTCGGGACCGAGAGAAACTATTATTTAATCGAGGTTATTAATTTATCGATGTTCTAATGTGTTTCCAAACTAAAGTATCTGGTGTATGCATTGATGATAGAGATTTTTAGCAAATTGCTTTGGATTTAATAGTTCTTTCTATATAGAGTTTATTGCTAAACTACTATATGAAATGTATAGACAATCTAATCATAATCTTAAAATTAATTTGATATATTTTACAATTATATAGTAGGTATTTTATCATGTTTTACTATGACCTAAAGATTATGAACATCATAGTATTTTTTCTATAAATCAGTCATTGGATTTGTATATAATTTCTTTTGGTTTTTGGTATGTGTGTGGTTGTGTGTGCACATCCAAACATGTATATAAGATGAAACCAATTAGTAAAAAATATACTCAAACAAAAAGTGTTAGTCATGGTGAAGAACACTCTCTCTATATTTCTTGTTAGTTTCCTAATGGTCGTTGCTCTATGCTTCGGCCACGAAAACCCTGCACTGCGCGGCAAGAACGTACGCAAAACTTTCACTTTAATTCATAACAATTCAATATATATTGTCTTCTCAAAATGTATATATATATCTAGACATTTCTTTTCTTTTTATAATTAACCATGAAATTAATTTTCACGTAATCTCTCTAGTTGCGCGGCTGGTGTGTGGCTGATACAGGCGCACCACACGACAAGTTGCAAGAATTTCTAGACTACGGGTGTCATGAATTCGACTGTAGCCAGATCCTGCCAGGTGGACCGTGTTATGAACCTAACCTTTTACTGGCACACGGATCTTGGATCCTCGATAAATTTTACAAAACCGGTGCCTTTTGCAAAGAAGGACTTGGGTTCATTACTGAGACTAATCCTTGTAAGTTTTCTCACTCAATACCCTAATATTATTCAATTTGCGCATTTTATTTATTGTTGTGCAATCCTTGTTAGTATCTAACTATGAAATAATTGATTAATTAATTAATTAATTAATTAATTATCTGTATTGATGCAGCATATGGAGATTGCCAGTATCCGTGACAGCAGCAAATAAATATAATACAAGACGAAGAGGGGATTTAGATTGGGTAAAGAATAATAATGAGAGGAAACTTTCTCTAGAATGTTTATTGTAATACTCTATTGATCGATAACATAAATAATGTTAACATTCTTTCATTAAATTATGTGCAACATTCTATCACAAAAAATTACCATTTGCACACCGACGTATCACCAATTAGTGAAAATAACTAAAAATGAGCTATATTGACAACCCATTGAATTTTCGTATAAGTATGAACCCAAATTTTAATCTCATTTATAAACCCATTAAGTACATATACCAAAATTGCAATATATTATACTATTAACTATTAAGGGCAAAGTCGCAAAGAACAATTTACATCCCTGAACTATAAGAGTTGTACCAATTTGTCCTCATGAACTATAAAACGTCTCAAACACTCCCTTAAGTTTATGGTTAATCATTAAATTATTAACACCTTTAATTTAAATGTACACTTACTTCTCTGCCCTTGGGGGTTTGTTGTAAGAAACTTAATAATTATATAATTAATACGTGCTGTATTTGCCGATTTTGTTATGAATTTGTGATTGAAGTAAATTTATGATTTACATGATTTTCTTAATTGTGTTTAATCTTTGGATTCAATATGTTTGCTAATTGTCCTTTTGTTCAATTTTGTGCATTTTTTGTTTATGCCCTTCATTAAATGCATAACTTTTGGGGTGACTTTCGTGCATTATAAGATGTTTTGTAACACAAAGTACAAGATTTTGTGTATTTGAGCTTGTGTGTATTTGAGCTGTTACTTGACATTTTAATAAATTTTAGAAGAAAAAAAATAGTGGCATTTTAATGGTTAAATAAAAAGAAGAAAAGTGGAAATACGAGAATAAAAAACCCAACAATATGGAGCAAATAAACTTGACAAAATAAGCAAAAAAAATCGGTGAAAGAGCTTTTATACACACACACACACACACACACACACACACACACACACATATATATATATATATATATATATATATATATATATATATATATATATATATATATATATATATATATATATATATATATATATATATATATATATATATATATATATAATTGAATAGAGGGGCAAAGTAGTCAGAAAATGTCCGAAAGTGGAAAAAATGGCTAGAAATCATAAAGTCAAAGTGCCACATCAGCATTTACAAACAAAATTTAAATGACGAGAGGTATTTGAGACATTTTGTAGTTCAAGGGGGCAAACTAGTACAATCCCAATAGTTCAAGGATGTAAACTGTACTTTGCCCTATTATTAATGAAAATTATCGCTCTTACTATCTGTTGGTTGTAATACCTACACGCAAGTGCACGTATCGTACAAGTAATAAAGTGTATTTTTAAGTACAAGTATCGATCCCACAGAGAATATTTATTTATCTAATTTTAGACACTAAATCCTACCAACTGTTATCAAGCCCACCCTACACATTCGAAAGATGATTAATAACATAAATTAAACTAAATTAATTAATGAAAACAAATAAAAAAGACAAGATCACAAAAGCAATTAAAAACGACAATTTAATCAGAGTAAACAAGCCTAGGATTTTATTCTCCCCCTATGTGATTATTAACCCCAATTCCTTCAATTATGCAAGTAATTAACTCGGATTATTAACCTGAGATGCTAAATTAATCATAACCCGCTTCCGCGTGTATTACGATTCTATTATTCGAGACTAAATTACTGTATTCCTACGCAATTCAATCAAGAACAAAGCATTAAGCACAAATCTCAATAATGGCTACCTAAGAGGTTAACTATATTCCTATGCTAACGTCACAAAGGCTCTTCTACCACAGTTCTAATTGTTAAACCGATCTTCCGATTCATGCATTCAACAATAACAATAAAGAACATAAAGTGATCAAGTTCATGCACTTAATAAATAAAGTAGAAGAAATAATCTAAATTAATACTTGCATAAAATCATAGAATTGTGTTCATAAATCTCACATAGGGTTCGAATAAAACCCTAAAAATAAAGACTTAGCTACTCGTAGTTCTTATGATAAACAAAATAGAATTCATAAAAGAATTAAGAAAAACTATGCTTGAGTCTTCGATCTTCGTTCTTCGCGTTTTGTGGTGTCAAATTTCGTCCTTATGGTGTAGAGACTAGCGGGAACATTCTCCAGCCTCTAATGATGGTGAACCGAGTGGCACGTCTAACCGAAACTGGAAAATGATTTGGAATCTCGCCATTCCCCCCCAAAATCCGGAATTTTCTATGGAGGGATTGTGCTGATATCTTACCTAGTAAGCTCGAGCTCTTTAGACGCACTATCGTGCCAGATCATTTTTGTGTATTTTGTGGAAAAATGGTGGAATCCCCGGTGCATGCTATTTATGGTTGCTCTAAAATTAAGTGGATATGGGAGAAAGAACCGTTTCGGATTACTGATGTGGAAGAGAGTGCATCCTTTTGGAGCTGGATTGAAGTTCTTAAACAAAAACTTCCCGACGAACTGTTTCGCCTGGCGGTGGTTGTGGCCTGGAAGCTATGGGAAAGGAGGAATAAGGAGCTACATGGGGAGGAATCCCTCGATCTGGATCAAACTGTGAACTGGTGCAGTGGGTTTCTTCGCTCCTATTTAGATGCCCAGTTTCGCCAAATGAAGATTCCTATGGCGGAATTACCGAACATGTGGCAGCCTCCTCCGGTTGGTACAACTAAAATCAACGTCGATGCTGCCTTCCCCGCTGGTGAAGATTACTACGAAGTAATAAGAATTCGTACGAGACAAGAAACGTAAATTAGTAAAACGAAAAGTGTTAGTCATGGTGAAGAAGAATCTCTCAATATTTCTTGTTACTTTGCTAGCGGTTGCTCTATGTTCTTCTTCCAACGGAAACCCTACAATGCGTGGCAGGAAAGTAAGTAAATGTCGATTATTTATTTATTTATTTATTTATATATTTATAAATAAATATGTAAAAATCTAAAATAAGTACAAATTTAAATACTTTATTTAAAATATTCATCATATAATTTTAGAGGTATTAAAAAATATATAATTTAAATAAGACTGGGGGTCGAAACTTCCTAGG